ATAATAATTAATATATATTATTATTGGTTTATATTCTTGGTTGGTAATTAAACCCAGAAGTTGAGATAGTTCTCTGTATTGCTTGGTTAGCAGTGCAAGAAATCTTTTATTTTTTGTTTAATACTAACTCTAGCTTTATAATTAGTTATGTTGTCCAGAGAAAAAGTACAGTCATACTTGTTACTCTTCAGCTTTGTCTGGTAGTTGAGATAAAATCCTAGAAAAATACAGGGTATTTTCTTAGAAAAAAGATCTGACTGCATGTCCTAGTTTTGGCTGGTGTAGAGTTAATTTTCTTCATAGCAGCTAGTATGAGGCTATGTTTTGGATTGGTGCTGAGAAGAATGTTGGTAACAGGTGGATGTTTCAGTTGTTGCCAAGAAATGCTTACGTTAAGCCAAAGACTTTCCAACTTCCCATGCTTTGCTAGTGTGCAGGTGCACTAGAAGCTAGGAGGGAGCATAGCCAGAGCAATGGACCCACAATAACTGGTTTAGGATTTCAGTTTAGGTTTAGGACTGAGGCCTAAATTGGGCAATGAAATATTCGATATCATCCCACATCAGTATATTAGAAGGGTTGTGCTAGGAAGTTTGCTCTCTTGCTCTCTCAGTTGGCTCTCTTTTTTCTGGGATTGCGGCTTCGGGACTCTCTCTGCTGCAGGATTGTTAGCTGGGAACAGGCTGGGCCTTGGTCCGTGAGTGGTGAGCATTTGCACTGTGTATCAATCATTTGTATATTGTTACTATCATTCTTATTATGATTATTATTTTCAGTTTTATTGTAGTGTAGTTATTAAATTGTTCTTCTCAACCCACAAGTCTCCTTTCCCTTTGCCCCTTCAATTCACTCCCCCATTTCCTGGGTATAGGTGGGGGGGGTGAGAGTATTCAGTTGCCAGCTGGGTTAAACCATGACACTACATTTTAAACTGTTAATTAAATTCTTTGCAGTTCTTGTGGTTGCTTTCCGTCCTGATGGCAAGGAGCTTGCAGTTGCTGCTTTGAATGGACAGATAACATTTTGGGATCATGAAAATGCAGTGCAAACTGGCTCAATTGAGGGAAGGCATGATCTTCAGATGGGAAGGAAGGAGCTTGATAAAATAACTGCAAAACAAGCAGCTAAGGGAAAGTAAGTAAATGAGGTTGCAATGAAAAGATGGTGCCGCACTGGCTTTTGCTTTTGAATTGTTTCTTTCTGTTTGGTTTTTACGTGAAGATTTCAGAGTGCATCTGCTGTTCAAATATTTTTATTCTGATGTTGGATTTTAAAAGACTGCCTGACTTGACATCTGGATGGGTCCTTTTTGTCTTTTTCTTTGTTCATTTATTCATCAGCATAATTCTGAGCATCCACTCTTTTTCATCAGTTATAAACTTGGGTTGACAGCATAATATCAATATCATGACAAGTTGTTAATTGGCTAAGTGTGATAGGTTTTTAAGTGGATATCTTGTTATTTTAGGTACTAGTATGTAACTATTAGTGTGTAGAAACTGTTACTTTTCAAAAAATGAAAATACGCTGTGGGGTTTTTTTACATGTTACTACGCATGTGAAGTAATGTTTAAAGGCAAGGTGAATTTATGTACTGTCAAAAAGTGTAATATAGAATTCACGTTTCATTCTTTTCCCTTGAGCCCCTCTTTTTTTTTTTTTTTTTTTTTTTTTTCTCCACATTGGTTCCCCCTCAAATAAAAATGAAAAAAGGAAACAATGACTTTTTAGAAAAAAAGGGGTTTTTTTGGTGGTGATCTCTCAACCATTTATTTAAAACATGCCATGACATTGGTTTTTCACTAGCTCTCCTGACCAACCGTCCTTACTTAGTGTTGTGTAGGGTGTAGTTGAAAGCTCGTTCATTGAGCTGCAACTCAGAATCAGAAGTATAGAAGTACTTCAAAAAGCTGAAGTTCTAAATTGTGTGTGATTCATAGCAAAGTATCAAGTACTTCTTTATGGTAAATGATTATGTGTGTTAATATTGTGTCAATTAAGATCTCTACTTTTTCCATGGTTATTCTTTTGTGGCTTCACACTGTACTCATGTCTTTTAGCTTGGATGTAGAAGGGGAATTAACTATTTTCTCTTTTTCTGTACTAGATCGTTTACTACTCTGTGTTACTCAGCAGATGGTCAGTCTATTCTGGCAGGTGGATTGTCAAAATTTGTCTGTATATATAATGTCAAGGAACAGATTCTTGTGAAAAAATTTGAAATCTCATGCAACTTTTCTTTAGATGCAATGGAGGTATGTGACCACAGGAGTCAGCTTTTTCACTCACTGTGCCCCTCCCACCCTCTCCCCATCCCCAAGACTTTGGTTTTGGCATAACATTGCATCAAGTGGGATTCATGAATGTTTTGTTAAGCATGAGTTCATTTTCTTGGGTTTGTGCAGGAGAGTGGTAAGGAAACATTTGTCAGAAGATGAAAGTAGTTCCTGACGCTCAGCTAACTTAAGCCTTGCCAGATGGCAGTGTGTTTGTATTAAATGAGCAGAACTCTTGACCGTAGTGAAGTCAGTTGGAGCTTAATTTAAAATTGAAGAGAAAATATGAAAAACTATATTATCAATATTTTGTACTAAGCTAACTTTCCCTGAGTATCAGTTGCTTACATTAGCAAAGAAGTGAAGGATTTTATTGTGGACACAGAAGAACATTACTAACCTTTACCATCTTGGTTTCTGAATATTGCCAAATGCAAAATTAAATTCCTTTAAAAGTAAAGTGAACTATGAAAAGCATCAGAAGGAAAAAAAAAATCCAGTAACCTTTCTTAACATCCCCTTACCTGGAAGAATGATGATTGTTCCAGTGTTCGTGTTGAGCTATATTTGACCTTGGTTACAAGTATATTTCTTTGACAACAGTGATTTGTGGAGCAGCCTTTTTTTCTCTGCTGCCCTCTGTCGTGCTAGTGTAGCTCAGCATGTGGCTCAAAATTATACCAGAAGTGAGCCAGCTGGAGAAGAATCCTGGAGGGGATGGGTGTTTAAAAATGGGGGGTAGGGAGGTCCCTAAAACATCATTTGCATAGCTTTATGGCTACAAAGCCCTTACATCAGTACAGTGCAATTCTGGAAACTGAAGGGGAGGAAAAGCAGGGCTGCATCTGAGGAAATGGCTCATCTCTTAAATAAGACTGCAGTTTCATACATTATCGTAATGTGAAACTGCAGTCTAAACTGATTTGTGCTGTTCTGAGGCATTAAGACCAAAACAGCCTGATTCTCATTTGCGGTTGAACATTGTTGCCTGCTGTTGTGAAATTGTCAGCTTTCTGCACGATTTTGGAGAAACTTTGGGAAGAAAGTGCAAAGAAATAATCACAAGATAACTCCTGAATGTATGAAGAATTTTCAGTTAATACAGGTGTTTAAAAGGAGATTCAGTCCAGTGAATGGAACTTACATGTTTTTCTAGGAGTACTTAGATCGGAGAAAAATGACTGAATTTGGCAGCATGGCTCTGATTGATGAAGGGGCTGGAGATGACGATGGTGTTGCTATTCCTCTTCCTGGAGTAAAAAGAGGTACAGCATTTGGTTTTGCTGTCTTGTTACTAGTTTTACGTGGATCAAAACCTTTGATTTAGAGTCAATACCAGATAAGAAGGGTTTGAATTTTCAGCTCAGTTTTAAAGTTAGGATTACCTGAATGTTCTGTAGCTGCAGGTATCTGTTACATAAGTGTTCAGCTGATGTATGGTGGGTCCTTTTGCATAGTAGAAGCAACAGGAAACAGGAGGTACTGTGCTCTGCTCAATATGGAACACAGCAGTCCTGATTTCATTTTCAAACAGCAAAATCCAGTCCCACCATTTATTTTAGCTGTAAGATGTCTTGGACATGGGCTGTCCCTTGCTTACCCTGTCTTTAACTCTGCCGGATTTTGGCATGTTCCATATTATTTTTAAGCAGAATGGTAACGGCATATTTAGAGTTGATAGTTAGACCATGAACTTTTGGTGAATATATTAAATCACTTCTAAACTTCTCTTTTAGGTGACATGAGTTATCGACACTTTAAACCAGAAATAAGAGTGACTTGCCTGCGATTCTCTCCCACGGGTGAGTATTGACAATTTAGGATTTTTTTATTCCATGTAAACAAGCAAAAGAGTAGAGCATTGGAGGAGTTACAGTGAAGTACAAATGCGTTGGAGATGGTCTCTCTAGATGTTATACTGCTGCTAGGTTTGTGGTCTAGTTTCCTGTGCAGTGGACAGTTGGAAAACTTAAGTGTACATCACTTTCAGCTGGTATGTTTTACAAGCATTGTCGTTGCTGACAGCTCCATCAATGATGTGTGGTTTTCAGTCTTATCCACTTCTTGTAAGTGATGAAGTGTCGTCTGTTTATCATCACTCTTCTGTCTCCATCCTAGAAAACCCAGCTTTGTTCTTAAATATTTTTATTCTCCTCTAGGACGAAGCTGGGCAGCCACCACCACAGAGGGTCTTCTTATCTATTCACTGGACTCTGGACTAATTTTTGATCCTTTTGATCTGGATATTGATGTCACACCCAGCAATATACACAAAACACTGCATCAGAAGGAATACACTATGGCTATCATCATGGCCTTCAAGCTGAATGAAAAGAAATTAATTCAGGAGGTCATAGAGGCGGTACCTAGCAATGAAGGTAAGTGGATCTTCCATGAAATTTGACTGAGCTAACTGTAAGCGGAGATATATAAGCTAAATAATTTGAAGTGCAAAAGGGAGAGTTTAGCTCTGGGGTTAAGGGTGGGGAGGAGTTACAACATTGATATTTAAGGACTTTCTACTGTAGCTGAAGGCTAAAGGGGAAGGGATGGCCTTTAAAAGAAAGTAGACTTTTTGGTGTTATGTTTTAATGTTACTGCATGCTTATCTAGTGAATTTTGAATATGGAATTTGATCAGGTCTGGATACGGAGGTAAAGTTTTTGGGTGTCAGGTCTCAGAAGCATCTGATGTTAGAGGGGCACAGCAAGTTTAAAGTGAGTTATCAGCATGCCTGTGTGATGAAGGCAGTCAACCGAAAACTAGGCTAAACTATAAAGGATGTAGTCAGAAGTTTGAGGAAAGTGATTGGGCTTCTCTGTCAAGCACTTGTGAGACCGCATCAGCGGTACTGTGCCTAGTTTTGGGCTTGCCAGTATGAGGCATTGATACTTTGGAGCATCTGGTGGAGGGCTGGGAAAATGATTGGAGGGCCAGAGTGCATGGAAGCTGAGGAGAGGCTTAAGAGAGCTGGATTTGTTCAGCCTTTAGAAGAGAAGGGGAATATTTTTGCTGTCTTCAAGTGCCTAATGATATGTTAGAAAGAAGGCAGAACCAGACTTGGGAGTTGCACAATGATATGACAAGAGGCAACAGACCTCTTGCAGCATAGAAAAGTCCAGTTGTATTAAAAACAATAATATTATATTGGGAGTGGTCAAATACTGCAGCAGGTTGACAAGGGAGGGAGTGGAGTCTCCATCTGTGGAAGTGTTCAGCACTCAACTGGATAAAGCTTTGTGCCAGCTGCTCTAAATTAGTCTTGCTTTGGACTGCCAGAATTTGGAGTACCTTTGCAACTGTCAACCCTTTGAAGCTGTGATGATTATTATTCAAGTGCCAAGCTCTTTCTAACAAGAGACAGATACTTTCACAATTGTGACATGTCAGAAACAAAAGGAACATGTAAGATGTCACTCAGCTTTGGAGAACATTTAGTAAAGTTATTCTTCAGCACCCTTTTCATAATCTTGATAAGTAATGTGCACATTCATTAGCTAAATATGGTAGGCACGGCCTTAAAAGTAAACTTTGTGTTGTATTGTACTTAACTTCGTAACTTCACTATCAGTTCCCTCATAGTAACTCTGAAGTGTGTTTTCTTAGCTTTACCTTAGTGTTACTCCAGTAAAAAGTATTTATTTCCTCCCATTGTTTCATGTGTAACAAAAATCTTTTTATCTAGGCATAACATGCTTGAGTCTGAAATCAGATGAGTTGCAAGCCAACTGCTTTGTAAGGTTTTATTACCTTATTACCTAGCTAGCAAGCGTGGTAATTCTGCATGTCACGGTAAATCATCTTTTACATACCTGCACTGGCATAATGGTATTTGCCTCTGTCTGGCAAAACTTAGTTCCCTGTTAATGAAGTTAACCAAAACTCCATGTACACAGGCAACACTGGGTTGCAGTTTGCAAAACCTCAGGAGCAGAGGATGAGGCATGGAAATTTCGGGCACTGTAATCCACTGTTAACAGAATTAATGTGTGCCTGTTTCTTTAAAAGCTGAAAAGTTTTTTTTACAGTTGAATGTGGCATAGGCCAGTTGAAGTGGCTGCAGAGAACAGGAGTTGGTTATTTTTGAGAGAGAATGATATATAATGAGGTCATTATAGTTAAATGTGAGATTTTTTTTTTGAATGCTTATAAGTCATGCTTCCTTGTGCTATGCAAATACTAACAGCATTCAGACACTTCCTCTGTGAGCAGTTGACTTTGCTGTCTTTTTAGGTATCCTTTATTGCCTCCGATTATTACACCTAACTAGTTTCACTGAATATAGAAATTCATATGAAGTCAGAAGCAACAAGACATCAATAAAGTCTAGTTACACTGAAAAAGGAGGAAAGGGTAGAAGTAAAAGTTCTGAACGAGAGCTGATGGGGAGAGTGTTCTGGTAGGAGGAAGAACTTGGGAAGGTGGGGAGTTAAGTTCTTGCTTTTAAATACAGTAGTGATTGGAAGGCTCAAAGAGGACAGATTTGCACCCTGAGAGACTGTGGTACTGTACTCTGAAATACAATATAAAATATCAAATAGTTGCCAAGACAGTGCTTTGTTCTTCTTCCCCATATGCTTTCCTGTGGTCTCTTTTATGTTCTTCCAAATAGTAATTCAACTCTAATGTCTATGGGCTGTTTTTCCTTTTTGCACAGTTGATGTTGTCTGCTCGTCACTCCCAGACCTGTACGTGGAGAAACTATTGGAGTTCCTGGCCTCTGCATTTGAGATATCATGTCATTTAGAGTTCTATCTTACTTGGGCTCATAAGTTGCTTATGCTGCATGGACAGAAACTGAAAACAAGGTGAGATCTTGTGAAAGTCAAGAAGCTGACAAGCATTTTAAAATACCTGTCAGTTTGAGGTTTTTTGTTAACTGTTACTGATACTTTAGATAGGTGCATATATAACAATTGAAACTACCTAATTTACATTTAATAAATATAGTTTAAATTTTTACATTTATTTATAAAATTTTATTTTAGTTTAATGCAGCTTCACTAACAAGTTTATATGGTAGAATTTGAATGCATAATAGGGTTTGTGAGGATAAATTGCAAAAACATTTTTCCAATATTAAAGGTAAAACTGCATAGCTCCCTTACGCTATAAATGCATGAAGATTTTAAGAGTAATAGGACTTTGGGAATTCTGTTTTTAAACAATTATGCATATTAAATATAACTAAAAGATAATATGCAGGTACTGGCTGCATTTTGTAGACTCAGCTTCTGACTACAATGCGCACTTTTAGGTTTTTAGCATTTTGCTTTCCTACGTAGTTCTTTACAACTACACATGCCTGCCATATCAATTATATTCAGCCCACCCGTAGTATTGAGTTTATAGACTTTTGGGAACAAAAATAGGCAAATTTACAAATTTAAAATAGGCTAAGTGGGAGGTAATCTGAGAGGGAGTCCTGCAGGTTACAGAAACAGTGCATTGTGTAGCTCTTTCCTTGCTTCAACATGAGTAGTAATGTTTTACTTACTGAAAAGATTTTGTTTATTTAGTATTATCTTAAAATATTAATCTTTAAAAGTTAACATGTATGCTTGTTAAAATTTTGAGAATATAGAAAAGTTCTAGTTTTCCATATGTAAATATAAATTGCACTGCAAGTTGCGTGTTTTCTCCATTCAAGGTCAGTCAGGCTGCTCCCTGTGATTCAGTTCCTTCAGAAAAGCATCCAACGTCATTTTGAAGATGTTTCCAAACTGTATGTATTGTTATATTTAAAAGTTTAAATTAAAACCCTGCACAAAAGTGTAGAGTAATTTGGGGGATTATAGCATGTTATTAGAATTCTCGGGACAGTTTTCTTTTAGAGATGTTTTTATTATAGGAGAAAAAATTGTTTCTAACATGTTGCTATTTATTTTTACAGCTGTGAGTGGAATATCTACAATATTAAATACGCATTGGCCATTTCACAACAGCGGGGCATGAAACGTCTGGCAGAAGAAACATCAGTAGATGAAGATGACTTGGATTCTGACAGTGATTATCTTATGCAAGAAGTTCATAAAGACAATTTTAGTTCCTAGTTACTCTTTGTGGGAGGGAGAAGACGTAAGACTAATTTTATGCAGTGGTATTCACTGAGAATGAGTGGCCCTCATAGTGGCATATTTTAACTCTTTTTAACAGTGTGGACGGAGTTACATGTGAGCTGTAGAAGTGGGGGAAATGTAGGACAGACAAAGTGCCATCCATGGTGTATTTGGTGTACCCTTTGGCCGTGACAGCTTGACAGCATTGATTTCGTGGTTGATTGATTTCTTTTTTTATTGTTCCTGATTTCAAGTAAGACAAAAATGTATTCTTGTATCAATGAAGTTAGAACTATGACTGGAAGAAGTGTATTCTTTATTAAAAATGCATCGTATATAGAATAAGTCTTGTGAGTTATTTCTAATGCAGTCTTGTCATACTTCGGACTTTTTTTTATCCTTTTTAAATAATTCTTAATTGGAGGGCTACATATGGCTCTCAACTTCTTTTAAATGTTGTTTTAATTGGTTTTAATAGGTACATATTACTGGAGCACTGTTAGGAATAAGTGGACCTATTTTTCTTGGTTCTGTAGCTTCCAAACCTGATGAAGTTTCAATAATGAGGATAAATTATATACCCGTAACAGTGAATATGGGGAAAGAATCTACTGTGCCGTATAACTTCTGCAGAGCTTTAATTAATTAATCTGAGGTACTGTAGTAAAAATCTGTTTGAAGATTGCCAACTGAATAATCTAATTTAAATTAAGACAACATGTTACAAATGTTTCTTTTTTGCAGGAGAACCCTTTTTGTTAAGGTGAAAATCTGAAACTTTTGGTTTCCTTGCTTTTGTGAATTGGCATAAGAATTGGCTAATAGCAACAGTGAGGTCCTGAACGTAAAGAACTATATCCATCATTGTGATGCTTTCAAGGCCCATGTTGAAAAGGCTTTTTTAATGAAGATAGTGCAAATAATATTGAGCCAGAATTGATTTTTTTTTTCAGTGTATTCTGTTCTTTGGATTTGTTTTCTAGTCTCTTTCTACTCTTAGAAGCGAGGAGAGGTATGAGTATTAAAAACTGCTGAAGAAAAAATGAAGTACAAAATATACAGCAGACACATACAATTAGTTTGTAGAATTTCAATATGTAAAGTAAGGATGCACTTGCTACTTAAACAAAACATAGCAAAGTGATTTGTTTTTCCTATGGTAAAGTGTTTAAAACTATCTTCAGTTGCTGGTGCCCCCTTGCCTCCTAACACTTTCATGGTCATGCCAATGTTCCAGGGTCTCAGAGGTGTGAAGGAGCTGGGCTGGAGTGATGCTTGCAGACAACACTCTGTGGTATACTGATGGAATTGCTTGTTATTCCCCACCCCTCTTCCTCCTTCTCCTACCATGGTGGAAAGTAGGCTTTCTGCCATATGTGGAAGGAAGGCATAGGTGGAAAGGGAAGAGGTAGCATGGTAAAAAGAAAAATCCATGGTGGGGTCCTTGTAAAACTGAAGACCTTCAGCTACTGTGAAACATTGTTGTGTTACCTGTTGTAATGTAGTTGTTACTTCTGAATCCATTTCACTGTTTTTCAAATACATGTTGTCTTTGCAGGGTTTCTTAAAGAAGATATTATTTTCTCAAACTGTATGACCTGTACCAGCCAAGCTGTAATCATTCCGGGGACTGTCAGGGCGATAGCTTTGTGCTATGTAAAACAGGAGCAGTGCTGTTCTGCAGTCGGGTAACTTGATCCCTAAGTTTGTATTAGTCTCTTGGGTTTACAGTATTACAAAACACAGGATGTGGAACAAATGTGGCTTAGAAACACTGTTTTGGATTATTTTCATGTTCAAAACATTTCTGCAGCTGATAACTTCACAAAAAGTGTGTTTTAGAAAGTGCAAGAACTCTGAGAGGAGATGGGGGGGTAGTGTAGCGCTGTTGAATGTTTCTCTTATCCTTCTCTTTCAAAAGCAATACACTATTTCACAAGATCCTGGAAAGAAAGAAATGAAGCAGTCCCTGCACTGGGGTTTGTTTAGCCGACAGTTTATCCTACAGCCTTGGTGCTGCCCCGACTCCTGCCCCGCTCAATGTGTCCTCACATTGTGGCTCCCCCCTCTCTCTTGCAAAAGGAACCTGCTGCTGCTCGCCTTGTGTTCAAAACAACGCCCCAGATTTATTTCCGCGCCCCTTTTCTTTACCACTGCTCTTATGCTGCTAAACGAGGTGAGCGAAGGGACCAGGCGCGGGCGGGCGCTGCCCCTCCCCGCCTCCAGGGGGCGC